CAATTTTCTATCTGATGGAGAGAGGAGGGGATGGGGATAGGTCAGTCGTCAAAGCATTAGAGACAGGTAACCTCTGATAGAGATCTGAGGTGCAGGGTTTGATGCTTTCTATCTGTACCAGTTTGTGTTTCTGAGGAAGCTGGGAAACAGACCAACTGGTATGTGCTGTCTTGATTGTGTCCTTGGGCAAGACATCTTTTTCCAGATTGTTCTGAACGAAATATGAGGGGTCTCTTGTATGTTGTTCATTGAGGTAGCCACCAGCAACTACAAGGAGACCGTGCCTCATAATGACCCTGGCTGTTCATGGGTGACAAACCTATCAAAATAATAAACCAAGCAAAGTCAAACAATACTGGCTAATGTTCATGCTTAGCGAAGTGATGTTAATTAAATCAATAGTGAGAATGATAGGTGCTGTACATCTATCATTGTAATTAACGATTAAAGCAGGATTAGTGATACACATGTTTCATTAGATCTAGTTTTTATAGGTTCCAGGTCGGCGATATGTTATAATATTGAGAGAATGTTTACCACAGTTTGATAAACTTCCTGAGAAGTGAAATAGTAAGTTTTCTGGAACAGACTATACTGAGGGAAATTAAGTCATTAGCAGTATAGCTGTAGATACAGACTATACTACCATAGTATCATTAGCACTGAATAGTATATGGTCACATCTGTTTCTGACTAAAAAGTTCCCCTTTCTCAAGTGTCCCATTCCACGTACACTTCCATCCATTCACACTTCTATCTGCCCCTCCTCCACCTACCCCAACCCCCTCACTCACACCTACATGTCTTTTCCACTCCACCCATTCACCTATGCATTCACTCGTCCTTTCATCTTACTTCCCCCTCCTCAAGACACCCCAGTCATCCTCCCCCTCCCTTCCAACTTCCCCACCTACACCTATCCCAACTCTTCCTTTCATCCCCTGTGGATTACCACCCAGTGTCATATCTTGCTCTCAACCCTCCCATCATTACACAACAATCTCTCACCTTCAAGATAATCACACTTCTTTTCCCCACCCATCTACCTGACTCTGTTCTATCTCTGAGGTACAACTCCCTAATACATTTCACTCACCCCTCAATTATCTTTATCTAACCTTGCATCGACAGTCAGAGCAACTTCTCACTATCATTCCTGTGGCAAAATCTAAAGCCTCTTCCCATCCTGGACAGATTGGGTATGTTCTTGTCCACTTACTGTTCCCACACAATGGCAGCCCTTCAGCCCAGCCCTCATTCAACCCCTAACCCCACCCCAGCTGTTTTTAGAAGAGTCCATGTTTACCCCGACTCTTCCATACCCCATCCCCAAATTACACACCTCCCCTTGCTAGTCCACTTTCTCTGTATGCGTTTCCCAGATTTTTCAACAAATATATGTGGTCAGAAGGTTGAAATAATTACAATATGTTTATAGTAATCTTTGCATACAAGATTATAAAACATTAACGAGAAACATCTGTTGCCAGTGTTTCAGAAATAATTGCTTTTGTTCTACTTTGTCTGGATTTTCTATGAATATTTATGGTGTTGTGTTGTTACCAGATAACCTATTGTGAGACTCCTGTCTGCTATTTACTAATAGATAGCTGCATACATAATAAAGATAAAAAAAATTAAATCAATGTTGTGTTTACTGCATAATTAATTTCATTCTATTTCAGCAGTTCTCATTTTTTTTTTTAAATATATATTACATGTACATAGTATTTACCATTTTATTCAAAGAAAAAACATTGTATTACAATGTTTGTTTAACACATATATAAAACAAAATATGACTAGTAGATGGCAATGTTTTAAAATGACATCATTACATCTGTATGTTAAAATTATTCTGTATTTCAAATGATGGCTTTATACTTTATTCTGTTCATTAACATAATTAAGATAAAATAATATGAATATTCTTTCCTGTATCGGAAATATTCAGTTTAATGATAAATGGAGACTTCAATATGAAAATGTGTCAGAAATACCTACATAGATGTAGATCATTATATTTGTATGAGTTAGGTGTTAGTAAATAAATACATATTCAATGTTTAGAAACAGGCTTTAGGTTCAACATAAACTTTTCAATAAAGTTGGAATTTATCTAATAAATATATATATATATCTGATTAATTTCATCAGACTTCTTTTTCAGGATTGCTTGTATAACTAGGAATTTTTTATAAAGGAATTTTCGATACCATTGTGTGAAATTGAATTCCAAAATAACAAGCCTTATTTTCTTCATTTTTGCTCTTTTCACATAACTTCTGTAAATTATTCATGACACTGATATTGAGGGATGGAAGTAAAATACCCCACCCTGTATAAACTGTTTTTGTTGGAAGATATATAGCGTGGATTGCATGTTGTCTTAATGTTTTCATGAAATATTGATTTGATATATTATAAACGTGATGATAATCATGTATTTTTTTTTGTAAGAAAAAATTTGATCTTCCTCCCACTGGTGTAGGGAGGGTGACTATTTTTGGATTTATCTCTGTTGCCTGACCTTTGACCCCTTAAAGTAATTCAGTGCTCCACATGGCTGCAGGATCATTTTCAGGGGCCCAATAAAGGGAATATATTTCTTTGATTTTAATTGAAGTTGGTAAAATTTTAGTAATAATCTCATAATTTCATTTATATTGATTATACGTTATTTAAAATTTGTATGTGAAGGCTTATCCATTATTATGTTTAATGAAGAAGAAAATCAATTTATACACTGCTACTTGTTTTAAAAGATATGTTTTGAAAGAATGTTAATTAAAAAAGGATAACAATCAACATAAGACAGAAAATGAAATTAAATCATCCTTAAAAAAAAGTCAAAATTGTACTATTATTATGAATCTAGAAATTACATGTTAAACAAAATCGAAATATTATAGGAATAAGATTGCCATATTGAATATTTATTAGATAAATGGTGTTATTTGAGGCAGGTTTTACAACTGTGTGTAAGATTTATCTGGAGCCAATTCTCCTGTGGTGAATGCTGCTATACATTGTATTGGTATAATATATATAGTGTGCCTGGCATTGATTTTGCAACACAGGCAGAAAGCCAAGCTCTGAGCTAGCTGTTTTATCACTGGGAAGCTTCGGACAGAACACATATGCATCTAAAATCTTTTCATACTACTTCAAAACTCATTTTGAAAGTTTGTGTGTGAATGAAACATTTGACTTCTATGTTCAATAAAATTTGTTGATAAGAGATCTTAGATATATGGGTAGAAATAAATGATATTTTGTTTTTATTTTTAGATATTGAGCTGACAATGCTTTCTTTTTGCAAGCCCCTATCTCATTAATCATATGAAAGACATAGCCCCTTGGGCATATCAACTTTCTGGGTAATGAATATTTTGTTGACAATATTTCCATCAGCTTTCATCAAATGCTGTTAAAACAGAACTTCCTTTCCAGGAGATTGATATAATTTTCTGTTTATTAATTTCTTAGATTCTAGGATATTACTGAATTTGTCAGTTTGTACAGACAAAAATTGCTTTGATTTTAGTCTTCTAATGTTTTATGAAATTTTGTTGTTGTTTCTATTTATCAAAAGGTCTGTCATCATACAATAGTAATCTCTATGACTTTCATGCTTTGGTAGATTGAAGATATCTTTGTTTTTGTCTGATTCTATAAAAATATTTATAACTTGGTAAAATCGATCTCAAGTAAACACATGTACAGCGCCCCCATGAATTTTGTATAAGTGTCTACTAAAATTTTTAAAAAGTAATTTCTACGTTCATAAAACAAAATTCAATATGTATAATGAGATTCAAATGAAATCAAGGCATTGAAAATTTTCAGCTTTGAAAATCAATTTTCTTTCTTTAAGTTAATATTTCAAAGCTTTTTTTTATGCAGTCATATGATTTTTTTTTGTAATTTTGTATGTTGCTGATATTAAAATGATTGTTATTATTAAAGAAGTGTTTGTGATATTTGCATCAAGAGATGAAAAAAAATATTGATGCGATTTTGAAAGAAAATCAATCATAATTAAGTTAATATTTTGCATTGGTAGCATTGAGGTTGTGGTAAAACCATCTGTGACATCTAGTTACAGAAATTGCTTTGTGAGAACTGAAATTTTTGTTAAGCCTTGTTAGTTTTATGATGTGATTTTTTGACATGCTAAATCAATTACAAATTACAAATACTCTACGGAAACATTGAACATTTTTATATTTCGTAACTCAAACAGTGGAGATTTTTGGAATATAAATCAATTTTTTTCAGTATTTTATATGAAATAGTCCCTAATTCAATTTAATTAAACGGGGTATAAGCTGACAGTGCATGGTGTGATTGGCAAGATCTATAACATATTATGTTGGAGGATATACATGTATGCTGCACACAGCTGTTTGTTCTACAGAAGGGATCAATAATGTGTACAACCAGCTCATGCCAGGGGAGATAACACATAACAGTAACAGAGAATTTCATCAAATTCTTACCAGATTAAAAACAACAACTAATTATTTATTGATTTCAAAATAAGTAGATAATTAAAGATCAGATGAATCAAATATTTAAAGCAGTTAATAGGAGACTTAAAAAAAGGAAAATAATTGTGTCAGTCTATATTTTGCTGTGAATGTTGTCCTTGGAGACAACAAAATTGGAAACATGTAAATTAGTGAAATGAAACAGAAAATTTATCATAAGATTGTGAAAATGTTGGCTTTGAATTTCAAAAAGAAAAAAGTTGTTCTTAAATTGTATATATTAAAGAATAAACAAGGGAGCAAAAATTGTGATTACTCAGTAATGATGTGTTGAAATATGCATTGTAGACATTTTTATGTTTATCTTTTTTCATGTGGTGAACTGTTCAATATATCAGTGGATGATCTTTATAGGATTTATGTTACTTGTATTGTTTTGTGTCTCTGGAGAGTCCCCTTATTGACAGATTTGACTCCAGTTTGATGCTATTTGTTTTATATCCACAGCCAAATCTGTCTGATTTTAATTGAAGAATCATGGAGGAAATAGAAGTGACCATACACAGTAAACTGCCAGAGGGAGAGCCACAGGGAACGTTTCACGTTACTTTGAGTGAAAATTCTCAGGTTGGCCTGCTGATTCGTAAAGTATGTCATGACTATACCATTCCATTGAAGAGCTCCTACATGCTTCAGAACAAAGATGGAAAGAACTTATTGTGGTCTACTTCAGTCAAGGAGAATGTTCTGACCAGTGGCAAAGAGTTCTATCTCTGGAATACAGGTATTTGTAGATCGTTGTCATATTCACAAAATAAAATTCACAAAATGCAGTGATCATATATTTATTTATTTATTTTTTTTTTTACTGTTTCATGTTTTTAAAGAAGAACTTGAAACTTCACTGTTAACTGTACCCAGCAATAGACCTTTGTCTGATTATAGACCCATCCATCTTTTTATTATCCTGGAATAAGCCTGACCCTCAGAATCAGGAGTAATGTGTAAGCCCCCTAGGGCTCCTTGCAGGATACATGCAATAGTTTAACATGGTACATTTCATTGTGTTTGAGGTATAAGCATTCAAGTGAACCAGATCTTTAGCTTTACAATGTTTTCTAATATAGTAAGATTTCAAAGTATTCTATGTTGAAGATCATTTCGAAAACTGAAATAGTTAAATCTAACAAAAATTTACATTATGTGTCAAAAAATATTATTTTGTGTAGTCCCTCATAGTTTTCCTTGGCAACAGAATGTTTTGTATGATTAAGAATATCTGGTTCAAAATTATAGATGATAGTCATTCATAATTTTTGTAAATGTTTTTTTCAAATGTGTTATTAATTAATGCTTACTTCAATGTATTTCACAATTTTTATTGTTTGTATTTGTTTAAAAAAAATGTAGGTATGTATATCATTTATAATAAAGTGTGTGTGATAATTTTGGTATTAGACAGTCCTGCATGCCCTAAACTAGACAATGTCACATACACACACACAAACAAAACCTGGCCCATGTCAGGTCATAAATCTAGCGACCCTCCTGTTTACTTTAAAATATTGTAAGACTCTGACAAAGGACGTGTTTACCTGACTAAAAACATTGGTGATATCAGGGAGTTGTAAGCCTACTCTGGAGATCGAGGGAATCTGATACCATCCAAGTGTTGGGAGATTAAGGCATTTAAATTCACCACATAATCTTTAATTGTTTCCTTCACAGTCCATGTTGAGTTGTTTAAACAAGGATTGTCAAAGATCTATGACATAACAGGTTTAGTTTTGTATTACAATATATAGTTTTTTTTATTGTTTCGCATTTAAGTTTTGGGTTTTTTAACTGCCCCTCCGCAAAAAAAAGTAGAAGTTAAAAAAGGTGATTTTTTTTTGCAGATTTCAATTTTATAAATATAAAGATGTGAAATATTACATATTACTGGTGCGATTGGTTTTTCTTTAATTTTACAGTCAAGCAAGAAGTATGTTTAGAATCCAATGCAATTAAAAAGAACAAAAACCAAACAAAAAAAACTAATAAAAATTAAGAATAAAAAAGGAAAAATTGTAGTATTATTCCCAATCAATGCATTTTATTTTCTTCATCATGGTACTGGAATCATCCTTGTGGTTTAATATGTACTGTTAAGTACATGCATGTCAGTTTATCAAGGATCAAAAATAACTCTGTTGTTATGTAATTTTACACTGGTTATCAACTTGTGTCATGATTTGTCAGATGTTTGGAAAGCCATCAGCTGGTAGGGTGATAAATGAACTTCTTTATTGAATTCAACAGACTTCAAAGATGATTTGATTATCACTCTCAGAAAGATGCATATTTAAAACATAGACGTTGCCATGTGTTGTGGCCTTAATGTTGTCATTGTGAAAATATGGTTTAAACATCTCATGAATAAAAGGTAATACTCTCTTAGATCAATGAGAAATTTTTGAAAATGATATAACATACAATTCTAACAGCAGTGTGTACATCAGATGAGAATTCTCTGTGTTATTGATTCAAGCCAAGCTGAACGTGTGGGATTTTGAGGCTATTCTATACAAATTTAGTCCCATATCATAACAATGTAAAAACAAATTCATAAGTCAGACCACTTCGTGTTGATTATAGAGATGAAAATATTGGTTATTGTAAATGTGTTGAGAAAAACAGGATCAATATTAGTGTAAAACAGCCATTTTTAAATTCATTTCTCAGACTAAATGACAAAGCAGATTTCATTATTGGCAGTGTTTGATGCGTAGCAGGTGAAAAAAACAACAGATTCAGTGATTGATATTTTCTTTAATGATAGCTTGCATTCAAATAGTGCCCGATTAGATAAGATGGAAAAGATTTTAAACTGTTGATACATGGATTGATGGCGATGAATTTGGAAAATTTTCTTTGCAAATATTTGATGAAAAAACTGAGTTAAGATACTAAACAAAGCATTTATGTAATTTGATTATAAATGTACGGTGGACTCTGTCTAAAACTGATTCTTTTCAATCCAGATATCTGCCTAATCCTGTGAAATAATTAAGTCCCAATTCAAACAACATTTTAACAATAGACTCTCTACAATCCTGAACTCCCTATAAACCGGCTGAATTATTTGGTCCCAAGGATGTCCAGTTCAGACAAATTTCACTGATGAACTCATTTTGTACAGGAGTTATTTGACTTATTGTGTTACTTGTTAGTGGTGTTACATCAGAATGTGTTACATTAGGGATGGTTACAATACATGTTTAGAATTAATCATTTGTTATATGTATATTAATGCATGTATCTGAATTGCATTTAAATGAAAATGCATTGTAACATCTAAATGTAATAAGATCATGCTGCGGAATTTAATTTGATTTATTTAAATTTCATACCAGACAGGAATATCTGAACAATAAAACTACTTAGCTGGTCCATTGTTAGTAGTTACCTGTATTGATTTGCATTTTTTGTTTTTTGTTTGTTTTTTTTTTAAAGTGTCATATTAAACAAAAAAAATATCATTGTAGCAGTAAAGATACATTACCGATACAGCATAATTAAATTTTTCTTCACATTTTAATTTCATCTGACAGACAATATTAGTTTCTATTGATCTTTCTTTGTCTAACGATATTACACCTGAACAGGTAATGTGTTATTTTCTATTCATTATCAAAACCAATCTCCAGGCTATATATATAGCACTCAGGGTCTTTGTAGTAAGTACTTAGGTATAGCGTGTATCTAGGTCACACTCGGATAGTCAGGATAATGCTATCTTTAAACATACAAGCAATTGTCTGGGTTTTAACACGTTTAAATAACTAGCTATCATTTCAGCAGTTTCTAAACTTTGCCAATTACTCACAGTCATTCACGGAGATATCAGTTACTAGAACGGAATAAATAGTTTGATCAGATAGTATTAGGTTCTGATTTCCTCTGTTTTTAGTTGTAATAAGACTGTTGATGCAGTAATTTAGCTTGAAAATATGATGTTAATGGGACTCATGATTATGTACAGAACTTAATTAAAAATGCATCTCAGAAAAGAAAATGTTATCTTTTTACTTGCTTATTGATGGTAAATATTTTTATCAGAAACTCGTTAGTAGTCATGTCATGCACTGATTTTTACATATTCAACAAATTTGACAGTTTTTATGTATCTTTATGAATATGTTTCAGAGAGAAACTGAATTGAATTATTCAAATGTGCGATGTAAAGTTGAATGTGCCAAGAAAGTATGAACTTACATTAATCAAATACAAATGCTAAGGCCTTTTTCAGCTGACAAGAATTAAAAAACAATGAAATTTAAGGAATAAAATCATATGAATAATTGAAATTAAAAGTAAAAATGTTTGCATAAAATAAAATATGCATATGTGTAAAATGTTTTGCTTAACCTTAAAGTACTATATTGGGAGTAAGTGACTCTTTTTTATACTTGAGTCAGATTTTTTAAGTATGAAAATTAAAAAAAATGAATAAATGGAAAAAAAGTATCAAAATATGTGTGTAAGTTAAAACATTCATATACAGAAAATATATACATACTAGGGTCAGTCCTAGTTTTTACCATTAACACAGTCCGTGACTAATATCTGACAGTCCTACATACTTATATTCATGATGGATAGATTGGATGAGACACAGTGTAAATACATCTACATTATATCAATATTTTTAAAAGTCATGTCATAGGGGACCTCACCCCTAAAGACATATCAAATGTTTTGAAATTTATCAGCATGTTACATCAGACAAGCAATGGTGGTGTCACTTATTGACACTACTGACAGTTAGAACTGAAGAGGTCCACATCAGAATTGATCAGACCAGTGATCAGTGTCAATATTGACCTGTTACATGTATTTGATAAAGGGATTGTGTTTTTTGTTTGATTATATTCAAAGTTATGCAAATGAAAAACAAAAAATGAAAAAAAAAAGTTTTTTGACAATAAACATATGTTTGTAAATAGGACTGTATTAATATTTCTTAACAGAAAATACTTTTGAATTGCTGGAACTTTCATATTCACGCTGCAATTGATTTATTTGTATAAGAATAATTACCAGAGGGCACACAAAATGTCAAAAATTCAAATACCAGTGGAAGTTATGCAATTTCCAAACATTTCACTTAATTAAAAAAAAAAAGAAATGATTTTTTTTGTAGATTTTTTTTAAAGGTTTTTTGATATATTACATATATAGTGCTGTTCACACACACACATATGCCTCAACCACTAACACTCATTCTTCATCATTTGTTGAGTGACTACTTGGAATCATTAATAAATAGCTGGCATCACCGTTGCACTATCATACATGCATTCTACATTTCAAGAAACAAATATTGAGCCGCAACATTAATTTTTGATGCATTCCGCATTCATATCACATACACAATATTTATAATCCATACGCACCTGCATAGATATTATGTGAACATAATTATGGTGTATAAACACATGCTCATCTCCTATATACACATTGATATATTTATATACATGTTATCCATTTGTGAACACTCTTCATCACACTTAACGTGATTGCTTATATACACTTATTCATGAATTGAAAAAACAAGATAAGAAAATCAAACAAGTAATAGATCTGATATATTCCTTGTAATACAATCTGGTTGGTTATTTACTCTTTTATAAAACTTTTGTTGATCAGTGAGGTGATTGGTGGAAGGGAGGTAATTTAACACTCATAATGGGGGAAGGGAGGTAATTCAAGTACAATTGCCACAAATAGGTTCATCCAAAACTCAACAATCTGTAAAAAAATAAAATCCTGCCCACATAATCGTGATTTATTCTGTTTTGAGTTGAACTGTCATACAAAATTTCAAACACTCCTTCCAGTTGCAGATCCAAAGGCTTGTTTTGAATTGATCTATTTTAAATTGACTTAATATGAAAAGATATTATCCACATGAGAAATAAAATTACGGGTGTTACTGATTTTTTTTTTTCAACATTAAATTTATGTTAGATGTGCCCTCTTAAATGGAAAATACTACTTTACATCAAATTTGTTGGATTTTTGTTTTTTTGTTTTGTTAATTATTCTACCAAAAATTGTCATTGGGAGTACTGCACGATCAAATTAGAATTTTTTTTTCAATCAGAACAGATTAATTATGAGAAAGAATGGGATCATCATTTTGGTTCTGATTGATTGAATTGTTTTACATTTTTCATTGTTAATAGATGATTAATTTGGATTATGAGAAAAAAGAATTCTTGTGTATCCTTCTTTTCAGGTTATACTTGGTTCGTTGGGGACATTCTGAATAAATGATCAAACAATTCAAAATCCAGTTCAGAAGGGCAAATTTCTCAAATTAAGATTTAGAGACGGTCTTCAGATTGAAATTAAAGTAAGCATCACAGAGATATATCTAAAACTGTTTTATTGCCTTGTATGGATTTTCAAAAGAAACATTATCATACCTTGGGGAAATGATAATCATATTACAGTACTAGTTGGTTATGGGTTTCTCCTCAACACAACTCCATCGTGGCTAGGTGGATTTACTCCAGTGCTATCAGTGTTCAGTCGACATGTTTAAAGTTCTTCTGGTTTCTTTCAGCAGAGGAAGTGAGGACTTCAGGACAAAAATGTGAATGCAACATTTGGTGGTCTATGGGTGTAATGAGCATTTTGATAGGGGTATTTGGTCTTGTTGCCATCTCTATCATGTATCAACAAAACGGGAAAACGGAGTATGAGGTAATTGAAATTGTAATTGGTAAAATAAAACACAATAATCAATGATATCTTACCTTTCCAGACAAGTTTTTTCACTCTTTAATGTTTGGTAGGGTTTCCCATTGTTTCAGTTTTTAGTTTGCTTAATACTAACTATACAATACCTTTGTAATACAACTGTACTATAATCATCCAGCAATGTAATTCTGGCTCAAGGATAGTTGGTTTGGGGTATGTTATTAACACCCAGTCAAAAGCCAGGGTTGTTTAAGGGTAGGTTCCAAATGTATTCGAGGTGAGTGGATGTGTTGTGTTTTTTTATGTGTTATGTTTTTGGGAGGTGACAAAATGGGTGAGGTGACTGACCATCTTATAACGTTACTTAGCCCTCCACCTCTTGGTCTCTGGCTGGAGACCTACGTGGAACAGTCACCAGGTACAGGCCACAGACTGGTGTTTTTTCTACAGAACCCTGGTTGTTAATAGAATGTAAAGCAACAAATAAACTAAAATTAGTTTTGTGGAGGCTGCAGTATGTCATGTAAGCCTCCATGTGGTACACTGCACCAAGGCATCCGGCCATTGACAACATGCAAACCAGTCATAACATTACCACAATGCTTCCATTATTAAAGGCCCTGTTATTGCTCGGCCAGGGGATGGAAAAATGTTCCTCACAGGGAAAAATGTTCATGGCAGTGAGGCAGTGTCAAGGCAGGCATTACAAAGACAAATCTTTAGAAAAGAGAGAAACTAGTTTAGTTGAAGTTTGTGTTCAATTTTATGGCTGCTTATGATTGTGCAGTAAGGACAGCAAATACCATTCTTATGCCCTATCTGCAGTGCTCAAAGTCAGAAGAGGAGCCTCTTTGGCGACAACAGAGTAGTATATATATTGGTAATAAAATTAATTGAAAATACAAAATCCCAGATTCTTAGGTGAAAGGCAAGTGTGTCACCATCTGCCCAATGACAATATGGACTTACTGTTGTGATAAGAAAGGTACTTTTGCACTGTGAATGAATATTTGTTTTGTTAAAAGGAGTTAAAAAAAAAGAATTGCAAGGATATAACTTGTACTGAAACAGATATATGATTTGAAATACAGTCAATGATTAGTAACATTTTATCTTACAGTTTGGTGTAGTGATGGATGCTGGATCCAGTCACACAACTTTGTATGTTTATAAATGGTCCAGTGAAAAATACAAAGACACGGCTCAGGCAGTACAGATAGATTCCTGTAAAGTTTCAGGTAACACTGAATGTGATTAATCTTGAAAATTAATGGTCACAGATTCAAGTCAAAATTTTCAATGCTGTTGAAATATTTTTCTTTTATAAATCACTCAGTTATTTGTTTTATAGCAACTCTTCATAAAAGAAATAATTTTCTTCATGCAGGAAAGGGAAAAAATTATGTTGTCTCATTTTCTTACCGGTATATTTCTCTTTTTTTTCTCAGGACCATCTATATCGACCTACGTCAGTAATCCCCAGGGCCTGGCCAAACCCTTGGAACAATGTTTAGATAAGGCTAAAAGTACAGTCCCTGCAGATAAGCATTCAGCCACACCCATCTACCTTGGAGCCACTGCTGGGATGAGACTTCTTTAGTAGGTCAATTACTGAATAAGAGCACAGATTGTACAGAATGTAAGGAAATGGTGCATTTAGTCGGTATATGGACAGGATGAACTCCATTGATGAAGAATTTGATTCTAAAATAATGTTCAATGTGTATTTACATCCGGACTGAAAGTGTTCAGGTCAAAGGGAAGTAATTCTGCATAATATTTTGAAGAAGTAAGAAATTATATATGTGTCATCTTTTTTCAAGTGCTGATCCATTCATTGAATACACACAATGTGTATTTAAGTATTATGGGTATCATTTATGAAAAAGAAATGATTCTTATGCCAAGACAAACTTTAAACAAATCATTTTGTATTAGATTTATGGGAGAGTGTCTGTTGATCTCATTAGTATCTTATAGACAATATTATTATAACAGTCCATGCTCAACTTTGAAAATCTTAAGCAGGATATATGGTCAGTGAACTACTGTAGTTGTAAGAGGCAGAAGAAACTTTCCTCACATCAAATTTTTTTTTAACTATTTCAAAAAAGTAAGATGAAAATTCCTAAAATTAGGTGGAATTTGTTTGATGTATTAGAAAAAAATTGCATTTCCAACTAAAGTTAAATATTAATATTTAAGTTTAAGCTGTTGGTTACACATAGTAAATTACAAATAATTGTTTTTCATTGAAAAACGGTATTGGATCTGTCCATAGATTCATACTGACTGATTATCTTTTACAGTGCTGTTAACAGTAGCCAGAGTGATGCCATTTTAGCTGTTGTTCGGAGTTCTATAAAAAAATACCCTTTCATGTTTACAAATGCCACCCAGCAATCTCGAATCATTTCCGGTGAGGAAGAAGGGCTGTACTCCTGGGTTACGAGTAATTACATCACTGGGTCATTTGGTGTGGTAAGTTTCTGTGTCATCATCATAAAAATGGGATGTTAATTATGGTTAAATTCAGAAATACAAGCAAGACATGTTTTACTTATCCTACAATAATCACTAGACACTTCTGCATATTACTTCTCACTAGAAGTCAGGGGTTGGGCATATTATGGAACAATGAGACCTATGGGCCCTGCATATTACTTCTCACTAGAAGTCAGGGGTTGGGCATATTATGGAACAATGAGACCTATGGGCCCTGCATATTACTTCTCACTAAAAGTCTGGGTTTAGCTTAACATAGAACCATGATCCTAGAAATGCTTGCTTCCTACTTCTCACTAAAAGTCGGGGTTGGGCTTAACATGGAACCATGACCCTAGAAACGTTTGCATCCTACTTCTCACTAAAAGTCTGGGGTTGGGCTTAACATGGAACCATGACCCTAGAAACGTTTGCATCCTACTTCTCATTAAAAGTCTGGGTTGGGCGTAACATGGAACTATGATCCTAGAAACGTTTGCATCCTACTTCTCATTAAAAGTCTGGGTTGGGCGTAACATGGAACTATGACCCTAGAAACGTTTGCATCCTACTTCTCATTAAAAGTCTGGGTTGGGCGTAACATGGAACTATGACCCTAGAAACGTTTGCATCCTACTTCTCATTAAAAGTCTGGGTTGGGCGTAACATGGAACTATGATCCTAGAAACGTTTGCATCCTACTTCTCATTTAAAGTCTGGGGTTGGGCTTCTTACAGTGCTATAAGTTAGATAATGTTGGTTTGAGTCTAAGTAACAGAAAAAAGATATGGGTGGGCAAATAAGCAGAGATAGTCTTGCTGCCATATCAATACCGGAAAGAAATGAATGAATGATATCTAGTGTTAATGAGATCAGGTTCAATTCAATGCTTGAATTCTTGGTCAGGACTATGATTTAAAGCTCCACATTTTTCCTGAAACAAGGCCAAGACGGGATGGGTAACACATGATCTCTGATTTAAAGTAGGTGTCTGGGCTTATTATAGGAGAATAAAAAAGTTACAATAAGTCTAGAGGCCAACACATCTGTGACAAAAATAAGGGGAGTTGGCTAATTGCAGGACAAGGAATTAGTGTTGATGATGAGTTTCCACCAAAATTCTGTGAGCTTGTTAGTAGGCATAAACATTATGCAAATAAATCACAACAATATATTATTTTCTAATGCATTTGTATGTATTATATCAAAGGTTGCAATGAATTATATTTCACATGTGGCGATGGTAATTTTGTAACGTTAATGAGTGTGCAGTGAGATTATACTTTGGAGAAAAGTTGGCTTGTTTATACTGGGCTTGGTTTACACAGGGTCTGCTTTACACAGTCTGTTGATTATATAGTTTTGACATCTACTAGTATTCAAAATTGACAAATTTTCAGAAAAAGCCAACATTACAAGGAGCAGGTAACTCCTGGCAGATGTCTGCCACTGGTGATGGAACTGTTGGGGCTATGGACCTAGGTGGCGCCTCAACACAAATTACTTTTTACCCTGGTAATGTTACCATGCCCCCGGGGTATGAACAGGATCTGATGCTGTATGGAATGAATTACTCAGTGTACACTCACAGTTACCTGTGTTATGGGGTTAACGAGATAACTAGGAAATATCGTGCTCTTCTTATCAAGGTAAGATATAGGGATAAAGCTTTTGATGTTAAATTAATGGGCTGGTGACACAAAAGAAATAAAAACATCATTTACCATTATTGCCATTTTTGTGCACACTTTCAGAAATCAAGGGCATCTTGCTCAGTATTTGTGACACCAGTAACTTTCAAAATTAGGGGGCATTTCGTCATGGCACTGTTGTTCCTGACACCTTTTTCATGAAGTGTCAAGAGTCAATGGTATTTAATTGTGCCATTAACTATTGTCATTCATACTAGACGTGCAAAATTGGAAATTTGTGCAGGGTGTTAATTGTCACATTGCATTGACCAATCCTGTGTTGGGTAACATCTCTAATGAATTGGAATTACTGATGGATAACTCTAAGTACTACTGAAGTTGTTGTGACATGCTCGAATGATTCTAAATTAAGTCACTTCATCTTGTCTCGGAGGGAAAAACATATTGTAATGAATTCCAAAACCTTGAGACAGATGATTAGTAGCTAGAGATCTATCAGTTTGGTCTGAGCTTTGGGATTGATTAAGATTGACCAAGTCTACACAGATAACAGTCACCAGGAAACAGTCTTTAGTTCAGGTTTATAGAGAGAGATTTACTAAAGAACATCTGGGTACTATGCAAAGAGATCCTGATGAATCCAGTAATCAAAAACAAATAAAATGAAAACTTTATCTTGTAATTGCATGAAAACCAATCCAAAGATTGTTGCGATAGATGTGCTCCGTTCACCTCATGCTTTTCTGTATCTGTGGATAGTTGGACATACACCATGGTGTTCGCTTCTACCTATCATTTTATACATCATAGATTGTATGGAAATACAAATGTGTTGCATCTAGGTTAAATTATGTGATGACAATGCCAATTGAAGCAGTGGACAAACATTTGTGTAGAAGTCTCTATTCGTATAATGTATAGCATTCGTCTTATCCAGATGTATGTGTCCAGACAGCATTATAACACAAAAGTGATAAGATCAGATGTGAAGTGAGAAATTTTATTAAAATATATTTAGATGTTTATTCTCCCAAAAAATTTTCTGGGGAGCATATTGTTGGCTATCTATCTGTCTGTCCATTCATCCCTTCATTACCATAGCATAAATTTGCCCTCATTTAAACAAGGATCATGAAACCTGGTGTGTACACTGGTCATACTAAGATGATGTGCAATGTATCAGAGTAAGGGCCTGCAAACCCTCTATAACAGAGGTATTGCCCTTTGTTAAAAATGTCTTGTCCCGAGCATAACATTGCTTGCATTTAAATTAGGATAATGAAACTCAGTGTACCGAAGTCTCTGCCCATAACCACCTAATTACAGAATTGTTGCAATTTGTTAAAATTTTGTGTCCAGTAAAGTTGATATGTGGAGTATTCATCAATTTCACTGATACTCTTGTTTTTTGTTTTCTTATAGAACCAGAACTACAGTGAGACAGTGACCAACCCTTGTGGTCCGCGGGGTAAAAACATCAGTGTTTCCTATATGGATGTTTTCGAGGCGCCATGTACCAAAGACTCAAGGCCATCAGGAATCGACAGAGTCAGTATTCTTGATCTAAAACATACCGTTATTAGTAGATTGAATGTAATATGTTGAAGTAGAATATTTCAATACATACCATCCATTAGCTTTAAATGATCAGTTAATTAATTGAATAGCTTCAGGTGAAGATTAGCTAGTGGTTTGTATTTCACAATATTCTTAAAAGTGGACCAGAATGTCTGATCTGTATCACTGGCATTGCTGACATAAGTGGACTGACACTTTCTTTGTTGACCAATAGACCAGTCTGAGCATTGTCTTGGGTGATGTCTTCATTGACTGTTGGACTGGTCAGTGCTGCTTCATTGGCTTTGTTCAAAATCTAGTTACTGAATCATCCCTATCTGGGAAATTACTAGTGCTAATTGTAAACTGTAAAATCATACATTTTTGTGGGGGGTTATTTTCATGAATTTTGTGGGTACTCTTAGTCCAAAAATTTATACATCCATGAACTGTTAAGATAAGCATAAGTACTATATTTATCAAAGAAATCAGGTGTCCTCGAAATATTATTTTTTTGGTTAACCACAAAATTGAGCCCCACGTAAATACATGGTTTTACAATAATGTTTACACCAAAGGGTTGTTCTACAAGATGACGCATCTTTGTGTGTCTAAAAATTAGTTTATCAGGTAATGTGAAAAAACCATGACAGTGTTGTTTTATTACCTTTTATAAACAATCTTGTACTAACTCAACAAGTTGACCTACATACATCATGCTCTCTTAGTCAAACTTGATTTTGTAGAAATAAGTTTTTGAAAGTATCTTCCATTTTCAAAGCATCAAAATATGAACTCTATGCTTTGAAAGAAATATTGATCAATCTCTATTGAAGTTGAAGATGACATATTGGTGTTTTTCTTGCGATGCAGAATACAACATATGTGTTTGAGGGACAGAGTGACGATTCCGTGTGTCATCAGACAGTCCAGCAACTCTTCAACCACACCACCTGTACCCAGCCTCCGTGTACTTTTAATGGTACCTACCAACCAATGGTTTATGGTAAATATTATGTAAGTAAACAGTACCTACCAACCAAAGGTTTATGGTAAATATTATGTAAGTAAACAGTACCTACCAACCAAAGGTTTATGGTAAATACAAACCAAAGGTTTATGGTAAATATTATGTAAGTAAACAGTACCTACCAACCAAAGGTTTATGGTAAATATTATGTACGTAAACAGTACCTACCAACCAAAGGTTTATAATAAATATTATGTAAGTAAACAGTACCTACCAGCCAAAGGTTTATGATAAATATTATGTAAGTAAACAGTACCTACCAGCCAAAGGTTTATGGTAAATATTATGTAAGTAAACAGTACCTACCAACCAAAGGTTTATGGTAAATATTATGTAAGTAAACAGTACCTATCATCTGAAAGTGTAAATAATCACCTCAGTTTTAAAACTCACTAAATTTAAAGATATTTTGTTGTTTTTTTTTTTTTTTATTTGTAATATTATGATAATTTAAGACATTTTTATGATTGGAATGAGGTACACAGTTCCTGAGCTGTATAGAAATTACCTGTAAAGGGAATATTATTGATGGTAATTTTGTAATCTAGTATCACAGTTGCCTACATTGGTATTCTTCATGTTTGATGTCCTTTAGGCCTTCTCCAACTTTTACTATGTGATGGAATTCTTGAACCTGACATCACCGACGATGTCACCAGAGACAAAATTGTCAGACGTGATAGAAGCTGTCAGTACTCTGTGTGAGAAACCTTGGAGTGAGGTAATGAATAGCTGGGGATGATGTTGTAGCCAACATCAGGAACCCATTTCATGATGCAGTCATTTAGTTCAGAATATTGTACTTATCATAGGTAGGACAACATTGAGTGATGCATCCATTTAACATACAGGTGACATTTGGAAGTGGGTAAATGTAACGTGGATATAGTGATTATCATAAGTAAAGAGGAGATCCTGAATACATCTGATACACCAGTGACAATTGTTTTTTTCAGTTTTAACAGTGCGCAAAATACAGATGTCACACATATAGCCCCACTAAAGAGGAACTGCCTCACAAGTAATGGACAGACACAATATATGGACAGACACACTATATAGACAGAAGCATGCCACAGTCCATTCATCAATGCTACTTTTTCAGGAGTCTCCATCTAAATCTTTCTTCTGTTTCTATTTTGCTTTAGTTTTATTGAATTTGAGTTTGGATTATGATTATGTTGCATGTTTGTATTTTCTTGATGTTTTTGTAATAAAATATAAACTTGTTGTTGGCCCAGATGTAAGCGCGTGAGGGGTCTTACTGTGGGAGGAAACCGGAGTCCCGGGGAAAACCCACATGGTCGGGCAAATGACCCCTTACCTTTTCACGTCCGTTTCGGGAATCGAATCCCGGACAGCTAGGTGAAAGGCAAGTGTGTTACCTCTGGGCCATTCAACCATACATGTACATTGTATAACAAATATAAATGTAGACACCATACCCAATTTTTTTAGATATTTGGCCATAGTTTAGAAAGACATTTTTTGGACCTAGTCTACGGTTTTGCTGACTTTGGATTGTCATAGTGTGTAGATAATTTCTGTCAAAGTAGGCATATACATGTAATGAACAGACCTTTTCTAGTTTGTGTGGTCATTCTGATACACACATTTTCACATACTGTGAAAGGGTTTTTTTGATGATGCAAATTTTCAGTTTTACCAAAAACTTGATAAAGAAAGGATGTACTTTTCATAGAAGTCCTGAAAAGACCTCATTTTTTAAGAATAATTTTTTTTCATAATCTGCACACGTATTTTTAATTAATTTAAATGGTAGCACGGCAAAAAATGTACACATGTACTTGACATTCTTTTGAAATTATCAGATTTATGAAAATTACCAGATATCAATCTAGATTTTGACTATTCTGATAGATCAGTTCTGATTTCCCTAAATTGCTTATTAGATTTTAAAATTTTGGTCCTTAGCATCACTGATGAGTCCAAGAGGGATGAAAGAGCTGTATTATGGTGATAAATTCCTTATTTGTTTCTACTGTTTCCAATTCTAAATTTGTATTAAAAGATGCTACTTACTTGTATGTCTTTTGTACAATCTTCAAAGTGTTTAATTTTTCATGGCTTGATCTTCAAAAGTAGTGAAAATTAGATCCCCTAAAAAGTAACAACTTTTACAGTAAGTTTGTATGTGTACAGAAATTATTACTTGTGTTTTTTTACAGGTCCAGTACATGAAGACTGAGATAAAGTCTCTCCTTCCAGAGTTCTGCTTCAGAGGACGATATATTCTTACACTACTCTATGAAGAATACAAGTTTAATGCTGTCGACGGGTCATGGCAGAAAATCAACTTTGTTAAAGACGTATGTGTCACCCCTGTATCTAACCTGCTACCTGGGGAGGCAACACATTACTCAAAGTTGGGGATGGGGTTATGACCAGCCATAGGCTTATTGTGGGATCAATATGAGAAATTATTCCACTGTCAGACCTTTTCTTGGTAGCTTAATCGTAAAATTCTGTAACCATTGGAGTTATTCCTCTTTGTTTAGATGTGATCATAATACAATTGAAAAAGAAATTGATATCAGAAGTGATTTCAATAAATCTAGTTTCTTAAATAACTCTTTTGGCCTCATGGGATGTATTTAATATTTTTGTTTTTCTTTTCCGAAAAAATATTGGAACATCGTAGGGAAAATAAAAAACAAAAAAATTCAGATCTGAAATTGTAGTGCAAACCAGTATCTACAGTGACTCTGTCCAGAAACAAGCAGCTGTAAAATAGACAGGATTGATTAAATTAAAAAATTTCATTTTAGCATATTTCCCACATTTTTTTTTCACTTAGTTTACTTTTCATTGATATTACTTTTTGTTTTCATCGCTGAGTAAAACCAAATGGTCAGAGAATGCTGGATGTCTTCATGTTGAAACTAGCTCAAAGAGATGAATGTGTTCTAATGTTTAAGAGAATATCTAGCCAACAGGATAATGCTGAATAGACAAAGGTCATGTCAAGAATTTTAAAATCCTGTTATGACAGAGAGTGCTACCACAACAGCATCAAATTAATCAAATTTGATTAAAATAAAATTTTGAAAATTAATTTGAAAAAGATCACATTTAAATAAGACAACAACTGGCCACCTAAAGCTTACAATATTGATAACACTGTTTTCTGTTGACAGTTGGATGGGACAGAGATAGGCTGGAGCTTGGGGTATATGATCTCACAGAGTATCTACATTGCTGCCGTTTCCCCGACTTGTGTTATCAGTCTGGTAACCTTCATCTTACTCCTCATCCTCTTCTGCATCTTTATATGTATTTCTGTTGGCTTCGCTCTACATGCCATCAGAAGTTTGAAGCAAACGTTGAAAGGCAGATACCAACAGTTACCTAATGCTGGGAGTTCAAGCTATGGGACTGTATAGTAACAGAAATATAAGAAATGTTTCAAAAATTGCCATTTTACTGTGATTTATCTTGAAGAAGGAATTCAAGATATTTTCATATCAATACAATGAAGTATTGGGAAGGGATATGGAGAAAACAGGTTGTTTGTTCATCTGTGCATCTCTCTGTTGGTGGAATCTTGTCTGGAGTTTTTCTCAGAATTTTATGAAAGTCCTGTTGGACAGCACATTCCAAACTTGTGAACCTGTACATGTTTCCTTCAATTGAGTAGTTTTGAAGAAAAATATTAATAAACATTATGTACAGAAAATACTGTAACAAAATTCACGCACAATTCACAAACTTTATTTTATTTTTGGTCAATCTATGTTGGGAGCACAATTTCATCCTATTTGTTTTCTATCTGAAATGCTGGACCTGAGTTTTGGTTTAGTGTCTAATATTGATGAAGATAATTTGTCTTATCCAAATATCAGAGTTTTTTTATATGCTGTGTTGCTTTGAAAGTGTAACTAACAGACCACAAGGACCACCAGATGACCACAATATTTCATTATCAGATAAATTTGTGAATGCTAAGCTATTACAGACCAGTACTCTGCAAGACTCCGATATCAGTAACCAGAGTCATTTTCATATAAATAATTGCAAAGGATTTGAATTCACAATTGACACGCCTCCCAAATTAATAGGAAAATAAATCCAACAGGAAATTAATGTGGTTTACAGTACACCTGACTCATAAATAGAGAGACTTCCATCTCCTACATAATGTTGTTTACTCAATTTTACTGTTTTTGCTCATTATGAGATTTGATAGTTGTTAATTATGTTTGTCTCAATACAAGTTTGTTATTATGTAATATATGCGATAGACATATCTTTCTCCTTTGGTAGAAACCAAAATTACAGTGTTGTGTTAAATTTCTGTATTCTGAGTAACTGTGGGATACTGTTCACGCATGATATTTGGTGACTTATTCATTTTTTCATTCATTTCAAATCAAGAGAATTAATTTTTCATAGATGATCTGCAGGATTCAGTTTAGAAATTCAGCTGAACAAAGCTAATTAAACAGATTTGGTATAATTTGTTTGTATCTTAGAAACGTAATTGGTTGTTAATTGTGGTGAGGCCAAGAATCTTATATGACAGCTAATGCTGTTCCACTTGCATCCACATCCCACACTCAAAACTTTTTTTTCAATACGTTTACCAATAAATTTCTAAATTCATAGATAAACTTTCCAAACCCTTCCTATTTGGTATGTACAATTGTTAGCTGTCTAAGATTTTTTTCATTTTTTCATTGGTGTGCTTGGAAAACATTGATTGTACTTGTTTATGGACTGAAAGTGATGAAAAATATATCGGTAATGAGTGAAATATTGATATAATGTATTAATGTATCATTGCAATTGTCAGGTTGTGTTGGTATGTAAGATATCAATGAGTGTGTTTATATCTAAACCTTATAGCCATTTTTTAGAAGTGACAGAGAGAAATCAGCATCATCATCTACTGTTTGTTCATGAAGACAAAGTCAGTTTTTACAATTGTATGTGTTCTTAATTCAGTAGTATTGTGATAATACTGTCTTTGATACTTAAGTCCGTATCCTGTTTCAGATGCAGATTTAGAATTACTTTATCCTGTGATAGAGTATAAGGTACAACAAATACTACAATTCTGTGCTGAACTGTTGGATATATACTGTACTTATAGAATGATCACCTCACCAGCCTAGTATAGCATGTACTAAAGTAAACACAGATCTGTGATGACCTTACATGTACACCAAGGCTGTGAAAGGATGTCGGGAAAACTATAGTGCGTATGAGAAGAGTATATTACTACCGATTCAAAACCGATTTTTTCCGTCTTTGTGCTAATTAGTATAACCTCCCGCAGACTGCTAATAGGAAAGGGCATTAATTCAAATTCTCATATCCAGTGCATTTTATTCAAGTATTCAGGTTGCTATATTAAGGAACTAGATAGTAAGTAAACATTTTTTTATGTTAATTATCAATGCATGCCTGACAGTGGTACTTGAGATATATTTAATATTAAAGATTTTACATTGTTTTTATTTTTTTTTTTTTTTTTTGTCCCCCTGCCCCACCAAAATATGTTTTTTAATGGGTGTGATTTTTTCATACATTCCATATTCCACATATCCATATGATCTCTTAAAAAGGTCTCCTTGTCATAGTTGTTGCATGCCAGTTGAGAACTAAGTATGTCCCTGTTTATGTATGCTTCAATTGATTGGGTATACATAAAGATATAGACAACACAGTATTTTGTTAATTTTGTGGACAACTTATTTAACAATGAATAAGAACATCAATGTACTTTCAGGAGTTGTCTCTCTTCGTAAAGAAAATGTGTGTGAGAGATGTGACCAAGAATCATTTACTTACATTCTAATTGAGAAATGAGGATAATCAATGACAAATAAAATTGTTTTGATATGAGGTATACTTATAGTATTTCATGTGATTTATTTTGTAATAATTTTTGAAAGAAATAAGCAAATAAAATTTGTGATAATTGAACAGATCTTTGATTTGATTAATGATATAGTCATTTCTTCGTCATCAATTGATATGGTAAAACGAGAGTAAAGGTAAAAATTTGTTTTACATGTAAAGTTTAACTTTAGTGTTCTAAAGTTGAACAGATAAGAGAGAAAAAAAGAAAGGAAATGGAAAAGACCAAATTCAAAAAAAAAATAAAGATGTGCTAAGATCTTTCTGGGATCTCTTAGGATAGAATTGTAAAAACTGGAATTGCATTAAATAGAGAAATACGTGTGTTCCATGACATTTGTGAAAAAATAGGTCCCTTTTCTTCTAGATTTTGAAAAAATCGTGTGAACATTTTTGGGGAAAAAAATTGATACAGTACTGTTTTGCAAGCACTGAGCTGTTAGAATATGACGGCTGAAGGACTGTCGTGTTTGTTGAAAAGCTAGTCTGTTAGTATGGTGGGTCAAATGGTCATTGACTTCCTTGTGAGGCTCAAGGTCACAGTAACTTCCTTCTGACAATATACGGTTGCTGTGTCGTACCACCAAGATGGCTGCCTCGTATAATCGATTTCCAAGATTGCCGTTGTGTGAAAAGGCGAAATGGTATTTGATTTCACTCCCAATCCACTTCGGCTGTCCCGTTTTATTAGTCCCAAACTGTAGTATGTACCAATGTGTATGTGATAGAATCATTTACGCTTTTAGTTTCCGATCGCAAATGATGATAATAATTCAGTATCATTATAAATAATATCGATATTGGGCCAAACGTTTTGAGTTCTCAACAAAATCGGGTGTCAAAATAAATTCAGTTTTAAATTTGAAGTGGGAAACTTAAGTACAAAAAATATTAGTTGAAACTGTTTTTTGAAATCGTCAAGTTCTGAAATCTACATAGAAAAGAAGAAATGTCGTGTAAATTTTGATATACCTCTTAAACTTTATATCGAGCATCGAGCCATTTCCCGAAATGCATTTCATTGTCTGATTCGTCACAGCTATTAGTCAATTTCCAACCAATCCGATGGTAGAGCTATTGCGCATACGCACAAATGTGTTTTTTGCAGACGACTCTGAGGAAAATTAATGAAGAAGTCAGCCATATTTAAAAGTTTTCCGAATTTAAAATTTGAAAGCCGAAAATCAGCATAGGGAAGGAAAAGAAGACAAAGCCAGGTAACTGTAGTGAAATCTTCCTGTAGGAGTGAAATGAAATGGATGTTCTTTCTATCTCTCTAAGAAACCCCATTATTTGTATAAAATGTCGCCCTTTCATATTCCAGTAGATCTAGTCACCCTATTGAAAACAAACTAAAGAACCTCGAAAAAATGCATTTTACTTATTCTGTCAGCTGTATAATCAATATCTGTACTCTATTATGTATCTAGTTAACATTATTTAACATCTACCCGTGTTCCTTTTTATTAAGGTGTTACGAATCATTTGTGTACTCTGTGGAAACGAATGTTTTTCCATATCCACGAAATGGATTATGGAATGTAGTTTTCATCATCGTAATATATTTCGTTTGCTTTTTGAATATTCTCTATTCACCAAGATGAAAAAGACATTCTTGTCATGAATATCAGACTATAAAAGGCGGTCCACAACACAAATCTATGACACACGTTTAGCTCTGAACGTTTAACCGTGTAAAAACCTATTCAGTTTTGGGAGTTAAAATTCATTCCGGAATTATAAAGTATTGATATGAATTATATCACACAGTTGCACAAGTTGGATCAGTGTCCGACATACGGCATTAAACATTCAAAATTAATATATCGAATATTGGACATTGAGCCAACGGTTATCAATGTTCTACTTGTACAATGTATGTAGAATGTTGGTCCAACTTTACACAGCTCGATATCTTCGGACAAATGATGGTCAAGGGGATATTTGTCAAGATTACTGCTGCTTAAACTGTATTTCTGGCATAGTTACTAATTTAAAATAGATCTCTCTTTATATTTAGTTGATGGTCGTATAGGACATCCAGACTGAAATACACACGCTCGTTTATATACAACGGGTTTTCGGAGTTGATCAAGTACTTTTTTGAAATTAAATATTATATCTAATTTATTCAATATGTAATTGATTTAATTTGATTAATGATTGTTTAGATAAGACATAAAATTCATTAAATAAGACATATAATTTATCAAATATAATATCTAATTTGTTTATAAGATATTTCATTTGTATATAAAAGATAGTTATGGGTACTGATTTTTATTTCCTGGCGTGAACACCTGCTTCCCCACTCTATCGTATTCACAAGTCGATTCGATATTCAGTGATTTATTCCTAGTATTGAAATTTAGGTGAAAAATGTTGGGCGATGAGAGGTAATTTCAGAACACCAGGTTTCGAGAGTTACGGGTTGATGAAGACTTCGGGAAACTGTTATGTTAATCATAGTGTCCTCATTGGGGACTTTCTTTTTGCGATATGCAGTTATTCAGGGGTTTTTCTATGTAAACATCGCTTTCATTTATGAATGTGACAGTACTTACTTGGCTTTACCAAGATTTACACGGCGATTGTCTTCGATGAAGCATAAGACGCTTATTCTTCCGGGACACATTGTCTCATTGTAGTATTTTTTCTAGAGCCTTCATGTAAGTAATTATTTTCTGAATATGTCAATATTTTCCTGTGTTTTGCTTGTTGCTGTCTCTCGTTTACTTGATCATATCATATCTTAAATAACTTTAATCCTTTTTTGTAATTTGTAACTCCATACAAAAAATGCCCGATGTCGAGTTCGTAGGTAAGTCCTGATTCTGTTCAGGGAAAGAATTTTTAATGTCAGGTTGATGTGATGTCAATCATAGGACGAGGGGTTTAATGGGGATATGCATTTTTAAGGTATAATTAAAGAATAGTGTTTCTCACTCGTCATAGGACAGGTGCCATTTTAAGGTTTGGGGTTGTCAGTCTATTCGAGAACTTTCGTTTGGGTAATATTAACGCCAGTTTTTTTCTTTCTTTTTTTAACGTAACCCATCATATTCTCTTGTATTGTCCTTCGCTTTAAATGCTTCTTCTCTGAAGCGCAATTCATGCAGTTATCGAAATAGAGCCCTTTATACATATCTGACCAGAGAATGTTGGCTAAAAAGTTGCTCCATTTATTGGTTGTCAATCGTGACATCAAAGGATAAAGTTGTCGTTCTTAGTGTACACATAACATGTGTAGGGATAATGTTATGTGTTATTGAATACTCGGTAATGAGTAGTACATTTCCAGTCCTTATTCTGGCAAATAACAACGCAGGACATGTAAGTGCTGCTAGGAGTTTTATTTATTTTAATTCTTTTTGGTCAAGTGTGTATAGCTGGGAAATGCCATTGTTGTATGTATCACAGAAGAATTGTCCCCATGAGTTTTGTCATGGGGAGGTTTTCAAGAAACGGAAGAAACTTGTTCAAGTTTTGCGATGGAGAAGTGTAAGATATTGATGTTCGTATATTGAAAATATGTGTTCAAAGAAGTGTCGAAAAGATGAACAACAACCTGATAAAACACCACACCAAAATTAGGACGAAAATGAGAATCTCATCAGCGTTTTAGATGTATTTTTCTTTCTTTAAATTGTAATTATGAAATACGAAGTTATCATTTAACTATTTATTTTATTTTACCTTTTGATTAATTTTGACTATTGCTTGGACCTACTGCTTCAGGATTCAAGCTAAAAATTTTGTTTCTTCACAAAAGGAATTAATTGTATACGAGTTGCCTCCCTTTATGTGATGATATATTTCATCAGCACAGAAATATGATAGTAGTGAAAGGCAACTGCCATTTACAAGAAAGCGGGTGTATCATTACCCACTCCTTTTTTTCAAAGATCATCATAGTCCACCTATTGCAACATCACAATCAAAGATATTGTTATATTGTATTATATGCGAAACATTTTTTTTTCACAGTAGAATACAATCAAATATATTTTTATATTTCAAATATATAATTGTACCGAATCAATTACTATTTCACATTTAAAAAATAATCATGACCATTTATCATTTGAAATTAAAAGGTTTATCATCACCTCATAAAAAAAAAACACCGGACTAGGTTTTGTTTGCTGACAGTTGAAATATCTAAACAGTGAAGATTTGCTTCCATTGCTTTCTGATTGCGTGTGTATGAGTATTTGTGTTCAAGGTCTCCCTGTCACTATCGTTACTTTTATCAATAACTGTTATCTTATCTATATTGACATATCACGTGACATGTTTCAGCTCCACGTCTCAAAAACTAAAAGAACTTCATCCATTTCCACGTACGTCCGCCCGTCCGTCCGTGAAACGACTTTACCTTATGCATAAGAAACGATCAAGTTAGTATAAAACCGAACTCGTGTAGCATTCAAGACAGCCACCGTGATGGTATATTCTAATCCTCATTATCTCTACTTATCCTGAACGGAGAGTCGTATCGAGACCAACCTCCCACCAATGAATTGTGTATTCAAGATGACCGCAATGGTGGCCATATTAAAAATTTAGTCAGTCCTATTTCTCCTGAACTCGCATCGAGACATGGCTTCTGTTTATCGGAGTTCAGACTCGTGCATCGCATCAAAGTACCGGTAAATTTTGTCGCAGAGATCCCTTACACTGATTAAAAATAAAACTATAGTCATTTAAATATACAAAACGTAAACACTAGTCGAGCACCATTTCCGTGAGAAACTCTTTAGCCCGTCGTTACTGTTAAATCAACTCTCAGTCACTAAGTATTTTCATTTTAAATTTATACGTTTTTCTATCCTCGTTTTTCTAAGATACCTAACATAGCATGTGTAACAGACAAAATATTAGACGACTTATGTGCACTTACGTTCTCAGGTCACATAAGTTTATCTTTCAGAATATTGCTTCTGGAATACAGAATATAGTTAACGAATTACACAATAGCTGCGTTCCTTTTGTTTCCAGTGTAATTCTTGATGATTGTGTTCGTAATGGGTACGTGTTTAACTATATTGGGGGATGGCTATGGC